CTACACCAACTCCTCTCCCTCTCCACTCCACCTCCCAGTAACAACGTCCAGTCAGACTCTCTCTACTCAGGACCTGATAATATTCAGTGAATCTGTCTGGGTGACTAGAATAAGACTGTTGTTGACTCATTTTTGTTACTTTTCTGTTCCCCTCAGATAATAACAGCAGTGTGTTTGCTGTGTTTGGATCCAGTGTGAGTTCACGTGAATATTGTAAGAATCCAGCTCTGGTCTTGGGCTCTGGTTGTGACAGTAAAACATCCACTTCAGTCACTGTCAGTGAGACGTTTGTCCATTTGTCCCTCAGAACGTCCTGTAGTTTATCTCTGAGCTCTGACACAGCCGCTGTCACATCCTCAAAGTACCTCAGAGGACGGATATTGATGCTGGATGTAGATTCACTGAGTGCTGACAGTGAGGGGTAGTTGTGTAGAAACTGAGTGTGGTCCTCTGTGTGTGACAGCTTCTTCATCTCAGCGTCTTTCCTCTTCAGCTCAGTGATCTCCTGCTCCAGCTTCTCCTGAAGCTCTTTGACTCGACTCACTTCAGTTTCCTGCTGGGATCTGACCTGCTGCTTCACATCAGAGCTTCTTTTCTCCATGAGACGGATCAGCTGAGTGAAGATCTTCTCACTGTCCTCCACTGCTTTATCAGCAGAGCGATTGATAGCCTCCACCTCCCGTTGAAGCTCCTTCACATCTTTCTCTCTGTCCTGGATTCTCTGCTGGATGTTTTGTCGACTCACCTCGAGCTCTCTCTGCCTCTCAGTCCTTTCTGCTGCAGCTGAGACTGTGTCGTGGCCTTTATGTTCCTCCATCAAGCAGAGATAACAGATACACTGCTGATCAGTACGGCAGAAGATCTTCATCACCTCATCATGACGAGAGCAGATGTTCTCCTGGAGCTTCTTGGAGGGGTCCACCAGCTTGTGTTTCTTAAACTGAGCCACATCATAATGAGGCTGGAGGTGTTTCTCACAGTAAGAAACCAGACAGAACAGACAGGACTTGAGGGCTTTCAGTTTTCTCCCAGTGCAGACATCACAGGCCACATCTTCAGGTCCAGCATAGCAGAGATCAGCAGGAGCAGCTTGGAGTCCAGTCTTCTTCAGTTCCTCCAGTAAAGCTGCAAACATGGTGCTTTTTACCAGGACAGGCCTCGGTGTGAAGGTCTGCCTACACTGAGGGCAGCTGTGGATTTTCTTCTCATCCTCTTCATCCCAGTAGCTTTTAATACAGTTCATGCAGTAGCTGTGTCCACAGGGAGTAGTCACCGGATCCTTCAGTAGATCCAGACAGATGGAACAAGAGAAGGTTTCTCGGTCCAGCTGAACTCCTTTCTGCGCCATTTCACCTCTCAGTGACAACGACTGTCTGAGTTTCACTTCCTTATAAATGAGGCCGGGTTGAGCTCTGATCTCAACAACATGTGTCTCTGCAGTGAATGGGGCCTGTCAGCTCTTGCTCATGTTGGTTACACCCATCTACAAACTGTAGATCTGAAGGGGGAGGGAACAAGGAAATACATGAACAGAGTGTAGCTCGCTGTGTTTGAATCAGGAAGAAGAGGGAGGGGGTTATCGAGGGTTTAAAGTTCTGTTTTATTGTCATTATACAACACAGGATTGCACAATAACATGCAGTTGTAGTCCTCTCCACTCACACACTGAAAATGTCAAATTCAAATGGATAAAAACTGACTGGAAAGGAGTAAAAGATTCACTGTGTCTAACTTCTCTTCCTGTACAAAGAGGAAAAACAGCTCAAGATGGCAACATGAAGAAAAAACATCCAAAAGTTACTCACTGATTATTAAATCATAAAACAACTATCAAAATGTTACAGGCCTCAAGCATGAGTTACCCGTAAGCAGGTATAGTATCCTGTTTTGTGCAGGAAAAGCAGAGACAGGAGACGTTACTTGTGATCGCTCAGCAGGCTGTTCTCTGTTTTTATTTAACAGAATCTTTCTTTTTCACTTCATTTAAACCAACTTAGTGTTTTGTTCACAACAATCTTCATTTTGCAATTTACATGACATCAAGCTTTAAGGTTCATATACTAACCCACTGGACTGACATTTTACAAATGTACAAAATGACTGCTGAATGAAACAGAAATCAAATTCAAACTCCTAATTTGTACCATTGTTCACCAACAGTGACTGCTATTTAGGTCCAACACCACATTTACAGTAGCATTAATACTTTTAAGCCCAAGCTGTTCACATTTTTACTAAATTCTTAAACACAAAGTATACATAACAATAACAGGCCATCATTACAAAAATACCTTTGCCCTTTTTAACTTTACCAAAATATTTGATCTATATATTATTATTATTATTATTATTATTATTATTATTATTATTATATTATCCTGGTAACATGACTTAGATGAACGACTTAACAACTTTACACAACTTGTGCAGGGGCGGATCTACCGGGGTGGCATAGGGTGGCAAGTGCCACCCTAAAAGAAAGCCTTGCCACCCCTGCTGCCACCCCAGTTGGCAGCAACGAATTAAAAGAAAAGTTACGGCATTTGACATTTACGAGCGTGAATCTCCAATGTCCGACTGCACTGAATGCAGCACGAGATAACGTCAGAGCGGCCGGCAAGACACTGATTGGTTGGAAACACTGAGTGGCGCGAAGCGAGGGAGCCAGGAGTCGCGAGGACAGGAGAGACGGGAGGAAAGAGGTAAAAACTTATTAACTATCGATCAATAAATTGAATTATAATGAAAGCACAGTGCGAGCATACACTGTAACACATTGACTGTAGAATTTACAGTAAATAGCTGGCAGAAAAAGTTGCCAGTAAAGTAAAATTGCTGTTAATTACTGTAAAAAGGATTACAGTATATTACAGGATCACTTTTACAGGTTTTTGTTGAATATAAATTACAGCAATTTGTTGTTGTTGTTGTTGTTGTTTTTCTTGGAAAAATCTAGTTTACAACATTATCTTGTATTCTATTCAAATTACAGAGGTTACCTGGCAACTAAAGTTGCCAGTAAATAGCTGTTAATACTTCACAATACAATATGTTGTTGTAGAATGTTTTTACTGTTCATTTTTCTTTTTCACATTAGCAGCTTTGCAAAATATGCATATTGAATGAGACCAGGCTTGCTGTTACTCCAAAATTCATCAACATTAGATTTTCTTCACCTGTTAAATAAAACCAGAGTCAGAGCTGCAACAAAACATCTTTTATTAAAACTCAATAGTTTTACAACATGCCTTCAGAACTCAATTCGAATCCCAGTGGCGGCTGGTGAAAAATATTGTCGGTGGGGCTGTGCCATACTTTTTTGTTTCTGTAACCATCGCAATACAATTTAACATAAACTGCAGAACACCAGTGCTCAGTGAAATAGTCAGTAGGGCTGGCTATCATTTAAAAATGTTCGATACCAGTACCGATACCAGTACCCTTAACACGATACTGATACCAACTGAGTACTTCATTCGATAAATTTTTTTACTTTGTAAATGTCACCACTCCACTAATACATTTTGAAAGTGCTCAAATATTTATTTAATAGCTGTACAAACATGTACAACGAAGAATTATATATATATATATTACATATTACCTGAAGTTATCGACGGTTGCTCTGTGTTAGGGTGGCCATTTCCTTCACATCAAAAAGGAGGACACTTTGCATACACGGGGACACACAGCAGATATTTGTTTGGTATGATCCGGTTTTAAATTTTAATGTTTTCCCACCAGATTACATAAAGGTGCATACACATACCACATAGCTAATAATAAATATACAAGATACAGCTCATGACAACGTGCCCTTCCAGTTCAGATTACATAGGTCTAATAACCATCACACAGAAACTGTTCTTAATGTTTTTATCTGGATAGATAAAGGGTAAAACAAATACAGCACCTTCTGTTTCTGTATGAGCATTTTCAGAATTTCAGTCCAACAACCGACATTATCTCACATTATGTTCTGTTACTGAGAGCTTGATTGACAGCCTGGTGGTAACCTAGCAACTGAGGTGATCAGCAATCAACACATGGCTCATTTGAATATTTAAATTATCCATATGTTGATAGGTCACAAGAAATCTCAGAATGCTGACCAGCCAACTCCACCCCAGACTAAGCTGCAAGCTTTACCGCCATACAAAGCGAAACCATAGAAACAGTCATTGATCTCTTGATCTGGGTACAAAAAGAACCGATTGCAGGTATCGACAGGCGCAGTTTGGATACTACTGGATACTATGTTGTGTCGGTCGATACCTTACCATTATTACAGAGAAACATAAACATCACCTTCTCTGACAGGTGCTTCATATCCCTCACTCCGGTAACTGTCCATGCTGGATCTGTCCCCGTCCTTTTAAAAAGCATGAGTGCACCCAGCTAGCCAAGCCTTCCCGGTGTACCGGCTACGGGAGAAGCCGCCGCCATATACTGCTTCCCTTTCTCTCTAGCCTGCTGTCTGATTGAGAGCTCAGGTTGATCTGGGCCCAGCTCTTTCACCCCAACTTTCTCCGACAAAGTTCTCCTCTTAAACGGATCTTGGAGGAGAGATTCCACCGAGTTAGGGTTGGGTCTTGGTCTTGGAGGACTAAAGTTCGCGCTCGCCATTGTCGTCTAGTAAAAATGGCGCCGCTAGAGCCCAGTCCTTATTTTATCAGAGGCGAGCTTGGGGCGATAAAATAATCTCCCTCCTTGGATTCGATTTAAGGACGCTGATTGGCTGAATTTAATGTCATACATTCATATCTTAAATTAGCAATTGGCTTAACTGCTACATCGACCCGCCTCCTGGGGGCGCTTTCTCTATCGGCCAGAGCTGATGAGGCTTCAGACAGGCAGAGGATATTTTACACATATTACTGGCTGCATTCCATATTTCAAACACACAACTATTGACATACTGATATTTTTATCATTATTATTATTATTTTTAATTTTTTATTTATTTTAATTTTTATTTATTTTTTATTTTTGTGGCTCAAGGGGGCGGCGCCCTCTATTGGCCCGCCGCCACTGGGAAACGGTCTGATGAAGGCCAAGGGAGGAGTCGTGGGGACCAATCTGAGGCCATTCTTGGACAAACTGAGTCAGGTGTGTTTGGTAAAAATTGTGCTTTTTCTCTGCTCTGTCTCCCTTTTTTACCACACGCACTCTTCCCAATATGAATGCACACACAGCACAAATCCTCTCACTCAAGGATAACTCCATTTCTTAACATCATCTGCCTTATACAAAACAACTACATACATTGATGATGTACACCTTCATAGAGGGAACATCAGCCAACACCCAGTAGATACATGTTACCTTGTGCTTCTCACATATGTCAGAATCATCAGAGTAAAGTAGAATTGAAAGTGTGAATTTGCACTGTTGTAAGGTTTTAACTGAATATTTAAAAAAGCACCTTCTTCTTGTCATGTGATATGGCCTTTTATTGTTCTTTATGTATCTTGGGGAGAAAACTAAAGAAATGCAGTGTATACTGTAATTACAATGATATTTTTATTTCATTTTTTTCCAAACGTTTTCAACAGAGCAAGAGCATATCAATGGGAATATGTTTCTCATTAATGCCATGTTATATTTTTGGCTGCTGCTTCACTTTGAATGCATGTTACACAGTTGAATTGTACATTTCAATTTTAATGTTAATGTTAGTGATTCATTGGTGTTAATAACAAAATAAAACATTTCATTATATATTGTATTTCAGTTGCTGCTTTGTGGTAAAAGTATATGCATAGAGAAAATGATTACATTGATTTGGTCAAATTCATCAAAACAAAATAACATTTACGTAATTGTAGTGAATAATATATCTGCAGACATAGAAGGAATTTAAAAGGTCAAACAGAATAAATGTAATAAAATGTACCTATTGACTTCATCACAGTAAATATCACTGATATATAAGATTTACTTTATATTTTTATGACAGCAATGTCTCGTATATGAAAATATATAATTGACTTTACTCAGTTAAACTAAATATAACTTGTAATGTAGAAATAATTAAACAACATTTACTTTATATTTTTACTAAAGTTTAGTTGAGTGGTGAGTAAATTTGACTTGATACTGGCAACTGAGTTGTACTTGATATTTCAGCAGTAATATTTACTTAAACATTGTTACAGAGATTATATTAAGTAAATCTTACCAGTTGTTTTTTTCAGTGTCCTTTCCCCCTTTTCCTTTGCATGGACAGGGAGGGACACACTGGAGATGGCCAAGGCCATCTGGCATCTACTTTTCTCCACCAAAAACCTGAGGTGGACCACACTGCACAGACCCTCCTGACAGTGGACAATATTATACAAGTGTCTGATGTGATGAGAGCACTGTGTCCACCATTCACTGAGGAGGAGCATGGAGAGGGAGGGGAAACCAACCAGCTTCCTGATGGAATCTACTTTCTCTTCCTTCCTCCCCTGCAGGTCCAAGGGCTGTATGAGGCAGAGCAGAGGGGGAAAGAGAGGGCAAGGACATGAAGAAAGGATGCTCCTCGGTTGTACACCGCTCTGCATTCATGGTAAGCTTTTCAGTTTCTATTTCACCTTTCATTTAGAGTTTTATTTGGTGGTGCACTGCCTCATCTCTTGTGTGTGGAGTTTCATCCAAGGAGCTGTGACTGTTCCTTCCTGAGCGTGCAGCACGGGAAGGTACGCCGGGTCACCTCACTTTCCTCTCTCAACCAATAACACAACATATTCTGACTGTCAATCCCCAACAAACAGCCACCCTCCTCAGAGTCCTCTGAGAGTGTGAACGCACGCACAAACCCTAACCGTCCTGTATCAGCAAACCACAGAGCCACTAACACCCACGTTGTTCTTTTATTTTCTGACAAATGTCTGTCTTTACTCTTCTGTTCTGTACACATTCTTTCTGTCTTTGTCCTGTTGTTCTGTATTTTGTTTCTTGTGTTAAAAATAATAAAAGAAAACTCAAGAACATCCTCAGAATTTAGATCAGGCCAATGTTGTTGTCTCACTAGAGTCGCAGAACTATTTACAGAACAAGGTTTTTTTAATAAAAGTTGCTATATTTTCTTAAATACAGACACATTTTACACGTTTGATACTTATTAAAAGTAAATTATCTGTTCTCATGTCAGCCGAGCACTCCCTCAGCCCTACTGCACAGCTTTGCACTGAACCGTGCTCCAGCATTCTTTAAACACAGTTGGTTCCTCCTAGACCGGCTCCACTGGAAGAACCACATTGGTCAGCAATGTATTCCTGTTACTTCTAATGCATAAAAGAGATGCTGTACTTTTACTGTGTGCTGGTTGAAGTGTTGCATAATGCTGACAGCGATCTGCAGCACGCTATCATCAACAGCCAGCTGGCAGGAGCAGTTTAATGCTCATTTGAAAGGAATCAGGCACCTCCTGCCCAAGTCTAATATTTATGCTGTCAAATGCCTCATTTCTGACTTGTTGTCGTCATACATGAGTTATCTTATGAAAGGATGTCAGATGTGTTTTTACAGGTTACACAAAGCAGTTCTGTTGTGTCAAATCACACATTTGGGATTCATTGTGGTTGTTATTAAGTTCACAAACCATGGTTACAGTGAGAGATACAAACTATGATGATTCAGTCTATCTAACCTGCTGCCACTCCCCGAGTGTCTCTCTCCCTCTCTCTAACTGTATGTGTGTGTGATTGCCTGAGTGCAGACAGGTTCCAGCTTCCAGTCCAACCCTCAGCCCCAGGTTCACACCCACCAGCCCAAGCTTGCCCAGGTCTGCACTCCCTCTCCCCCTCTTTTCAATAAACACTAGTTTCCTATTAAGTCCCTGTCTCCTGGAGTGTCTGCATGTGTGTTCACGAGCTCAGTCTCAACACAAACTGGTTAGGGGATGAAAAGGTGAGAAGGAGGCGTGAGCTGAGAAAATATAAAGCGGCAAGGGGGTATACTCTGGAGATTCTTTATTTTAGTTTAAAATAAGCTGCTGAATACTGATAACACAGTTACAATATTCAACAAGTGAAGTAGAAAGTCTTAATTCATGAGATCAAGATTAGTATTTTTGTGTCCACTATGGTTTGAGATGTGTCACTCTGTTCTCCACTGCAGTATAATAAGAATACCTTACAATAAACTCAAAGGTACATTTAAATGCTGATCCAGGATCAGTGTCATTACCCCAAACTTAATATTTACTGACATTAG